ACAGTAGCCAACAACTCATAAACCACCAAGTAATTCCAGAGTAAGACAATCAGTATAACCATAAAATGTTAATGGGTCATCCTTTCTCMAATGCATAACAAGTGAATGRGTGACTAAATTTCCTRTTGTGGTTGCTTTACAATAAGGATCTTTTTTCTTATCACATATGTTAAAAAACACAACAGAAACTACCCATAATATTAAACATTGTTATATACTTCTTCGTTTTAATTTTGTAAAATGTTTTTGACAATGTCTCACATGTCACCCTTTCGATCTAACTTGGTTTTCATGAGATTCATCATGCAAAAAATTATTCTAAAAGCCACATTAGATCAATTATTTATCTTTCTACAACCTACAGTTTATTGCCATCAATATACATATGGTTGTTGGGAGTATAGCAACATTGGCCAATAGTTTATGATGAAAATTATATGGTTTTAATATTCTTGATCATCACTTGGTGGTATGTTTGGAATAGTAAAGAGATATGTTATCATATTTCGATGCACAATGAATTCTTCCTTTATAAAATTGATTGTCTGTTTTATCTTCGAGTTCTTTGAATAATCCATATATGTTATGTTGTTAGTTTTGTCATATGATGGCCGCCATACTATAATAGAAACAGAGACTTAACATATAAGTAATGGAACAAACACAACAAATCCTGTTCTGTTGAAGCATCTAATTTTATGACCCATTAACCAAGTTTCAAAGCTTTGAATCCTTTCTCTTGGCTTTCCTCATTTTGCAAACTTCTTTAAATTCTTATCACCAATAGTATATATATTACTTAATTATATATATGTATCTTGTTATCTTAGTAACTACTACTAGTGATGAAATGGGCTTGTTGTTTTAAACTCAGTCATTGTTGATTTATTACTAAATAATACGTTTAATTATAGTTTTCAAAATTATGGGTATTAGTTATACCCATACCCATACCCATACCCATACCCATGCCCATACCCATGCAATAATAATAAATCCAATTTGATTTATATATTTACAACTTTTATTTTGCAAACCAGCTAAGAAAGGATATTTAAGAAAGATGATGAAACTTCATTTATCATCAACATTTTGGATTAGGAAACAATATGAGATTTATTTATTAGATGAGATATTAATTATTAATTATTAATTATTAGCAGAGTGGAATATAGAGTTGGTATTCAAATTGTTTATTTCATGAGCAGCAGCTAATTCAAGAGTTGGAGTTGGAAATTTATATAAAATATTAAGCAAAACAATCAATGGTATAATGGAAATGTGTTTGGGTTGTAAGCTCCATCAATAAATAGCTTAATTGGTGTCTTTAGTTATTTATTTAGGGGTCAATATGGATAATAGTTCGATGTTGTTACCAAGAATGACTATCGAGTATCAAAGATCCTTGGAAGAATTTCTTGGTCTTATGTTTTGTAACGAGTGTTCAAGTGGGCAGATGTTATGTCCATGCATTAAATGCTGTAATGAGGCATGTGTTACTCAGGAGGAGGCTAGAATGCATCTCATATGCGATGGATTTTTAAAAGGTTATAGAATTACACCTTCTATTTCCCAACCCTTTCGTCCTATATTGGATATACTCGATGACATGCAAGGATTGGTGCGTAATGCTTTTGGTATCTGAGATGAAAAAAAATACTTGAAGATGAAATAGACGTAGAAGAGGAAGAACTGGATGAGCCGAATCCAGAAGCAAAAAAGTTTTATAAACTATTAGAAGATGCAGAGAAAGAACTATATCCCGGATGTGAAGAATTCTCCGTACTTTCATTTATTGTTAGACTATTTCATAGCAAGTGTATAGTGAAATGCAATGACCAAGGTTTCACCATGATGCTTGATACATTGAGGGAGCATTCCCAAATGCTTCTATTCCCAAGTCATTGTATGAAATGAAGAAGATTATAAAGGATTTGGGTCTTACTTATGAGAAAATTGATGCATGCCCAAATGACTGTATTTTGTACAACAACGAAAATAGTAAGAAGATTGAATGTGATATTTGTCACACATCAAGGTATCAACAAAGCGAAAATGAATCCCAAGATAAGTCAACTACATCCCATAAGCAGAAGAAGATTACGGCAAAAGTTTTGCGTTATTTTCCACTCAAACCAAGGTTGCAAAGGCTATATATGTCTTCCAAAACTGCTGTCTCCATGAGATGGCATGAGAAGAGTCGTACTAGAGATGGTTGTTTGAGACATCCTGCAGATTCCCCAGCTGCGAAAACATTTGATTTCCAATATCCTGATTTTGCCAAGGAGCCTCGAAATGTTAGATTGGTTTAGCAACTGATGGGTTCAATCCTTTTAGGACTATGAGTGTTTCTCATAGTACATGTCCTATGGTTTTAATGCATATAACTTGCCACCATGGATGTGCATGAAACAACATTATTTTATGCTATCATTGCTTGTACCTGGACCCTCTGCTCCTGGAAATAACATAGATGCTATTTAGAACCTTTAGTGGAGGAGTTAAAGGAGTTATGGGATGTTGGAGTGAATACTTATGATGCATCAACCAAGAATAACTTTCAAATGCATGCCTCTTTGTTGTGGACCATAAGTGACTTTCCTGCTTTTGCTAATTTATCTGGGTGGAGCACTAAAGGTCAACTAGCATGTCCTTGTTTCCATAAGCATACAAAATCACGACGACTAACGCAAGGAGGAAAATACTGTTACATGGGGCATCGTCGATTTTTGCCAAAAAGACATGTTTTTCGGAGAGACAAGAAGTCTTTTGATGGCACTAAAGAACATGGAAGGCCGCCACGCCGCTTAACAGGGTCTGATATACTTGATGAGTTAAATATGTTCGAAATTAAATTTGGGAAACTAGGGAAGGATAATCCAAATCTTCCATTTAACTGGAAGAAGAGAAGTATTTTATTTGAGTTACCATATTGGAAAGATAATTTGCTATGCCACAATCTTGATGTGATGCATATCGAAAAGAATGTTTGTGATAATGTGATTGGCACCTTGTTGAATTTGGATGGAAAGACTAAAGATCATATAAAGGCACGTCTTGATTTACAAGAAATGGGCATTAGACCTGAACTTCATCCTAAAGCTTACGATAACGATAAAGTGTAGCTGCCTCCAGCTTGTTTCTCAATGGATAAGAAGGAGAAGGAAATATTTTGTAATGTCTTAAAAAAGGTGAAAGTGTCGAATGGATATACATCTAACATATCAAGATGCGTGCAAGTAAAACCTCCAAAAATACGTGGGCTTAAAAGTCATGATAATCATATTTTGATGCAGCAGTTGCTTTCGGTCGCCTTGCAAAAAGTTTTACCTAAGCATGTTAGCTTTCCTTTGATGAAATTATGTCGTTACTATAGACAGTTATGCTCAAAAGTTCTTAGACCTCAAGATTTGGTTGAACTAGAAAACGAGATCGGAAAAACTTTTTGCGATCTAGAGAGGATTTTCCCACCATCGTTCTTCGATGTCATGGTTCATCTTTCAGTTCACCTTGCATCAGAGGCCAAAATAGGCGGTCCAGTTCATTATCGTTGGATGTATCCAATCAAGAGGTATGTATTTTATTTTATTTTATTAATATTACCAATATAAGTATTATTATTATTTTTTAACTTTTTCATTTTATGAAGTTTTAGGTATTTGTCCACATTGAAATCTTATGTTCGAAATGGAAGTAAACTCGAGGGTTCGATTGCAGAAGAATATCTAGCTGAAGAGTGTCTTTCCTTTTGTTCATTGTACTTATATGATGATATTGGGTCTAGACATAATAGGACAAGTTGAAATTATGATGATGGTGGTTGTCGGGGTGTTTTACCTCTCTTCTCGATGCCGGGTCGTTCTGTGGGAGCTGTAAAGACACAAACACTGGACCTTGAAACTTTGGCTAAAACACACTGATATGTGTTGTTTAATTGCAACAAAGTCGATGAATTCATCATGTAAGTCAACAATTATACATCATGAATTTTAGTACAATTAGTGTTTGCGTCTTTTAACACTATATACTTATACAGTGAACATCTAAATATTGTTCGTGATCAAAATCGACGATTACGTGAGCATGAATTGCAACGTATTCATGGTAAAACTTTTGCATTATGGTTCCAAAATCATGTAAGTAATGATTAAATTAAATTATCATATTACATTTTGTAATTTATGCCAAGTGCTTTTTAAATTATAATATTTTATGTACTCATACTCTGGTTGAGGAATTGCATACTTTAGGGGATCAAAGAATCACAGAGGAACTAAGGGCCTTGGCAAGTGGCCCTATTGAGGTTGTAAAAAAAATACGAGGGATTTATTAAAAATGGTTTTAGATTTCACACGCAAGAACTTGAGAAGAAAAGGAAAACACAAAATAGTGGAGTTGTGCTTGATGCAAGGACAAATAGCTTCTCGAGCGTTAGAGATAACAATCCTATTATGGGAGATGTAACCTATTATGGAGTCTTGAGAGATATTATTGAGTTAGAATATTCAATTGACAAAAAAGTAGTGTTGTTTGATTGTGATTGGATCTCAACCGGTAAAAGGAAAAGGAAGATGAGAATGGGTTTACTCTACTTAATTTTAAAGGCTTGAAGCCTCATAATGAGCCTTTTATACTAGCTTGTCAAGCTCAACATGTGTTCTACGTGGCGGACCCTGTTGACAAAAAGTGGCAAGTTATGATTAAGACAACAACTAGAGATTTTTATGACATGAATGAACAACCATGTCTTGATCATGTTGATACATACTTGCAAAGTGAAGCCTTTAGTTGTCCTCAAGTCGATGAAAGTATGGACATTGATTTGACTAGAGAAGGTTTTAGTGGAATTATTGTTGACAAAGATATCCCAATTTTAGATGTAGATGAAGATATTTGATGCCTTGTCATGACTTTGGTTATTATGTGTAAGAACTAGTTATTTACTTTCCATTGTGATTTTTTTGTTCAATTTATTATTTATCTTTGGATTTTTGCTAGCAATGTCTTTAAGGATGAACAACGGAATGAATTTGGCTTATGGGAATAGTAGTCAACAAGTTCAAGAAGACAAAATTAACATAGACTCCAACCATTTTATTGATGATCCAGGTATATGTGATGTGTATGTAGATATGTGTCATTTTTTTATAATTATTTTTCAATGATAAATTTAAAAAATTATCCACTTTTCTTATTTTAGTTGTTGATGGAAGCTCGCATAGAAGAGTTAGAGGGCCAACATATATGCCTATTTGGGCTTGGGAAGAAGGGGATCGTATTCCAGTTCTGTTCAATGAATATGGCCAACCAGTTGACAAGGAAACTACTAATAGTTTGAGTCATTTCATGGGATCTTTGGCAAGAAGTGGAAAGTATTGTAAAGTTGATATTTCATGGCCTCAAGTTAGCACAACTAAGAAAGGAATGTTACTAAACTTTATACAGGTATATTTGATGTAAATTTGATATATCATGTTATTATTATCTAACTTTTTCTTGTTTGTTAGACAAAATTTGATCTTCCACCAGGATCCGATGATTGGATTTTAAAATCATTTGCAAAGAAGGTGACAAATTGGAGGGCAATAATAAAGAAAGATTACTATGATCCATCTCTATCACTTCAAGAGCAAATAAAGTATAAGCCTAAGAGAGTTTGTCCGGATCGATGGATGAACCTTATCAATAATTGGAACAAAGAAGATGCTAAGGTATATTATTTCAAAACAAACTGAAAGTGTCTATACTTTGCTTTGAGTACTGTTGCTTTTGTTGTTTTCTACTTCTCTCTCGTTCCTTTCATTAATGATAAAATCTCTGTTGGGTTTTTGGTCAATACTCTGTGCTGGATCATCTATAAACATCAATCTTCTCTTGACCCTTTCACTTGTTGAGGGACTGTTTGCTGGCTGTTTTTGTGTGGTAAATCCTATGATAAATCGTAATTTGGTAGCCATTTTTTTATAATAATGTTATAAAGTATTAGTGTTAGTTTTTTTCTTGTTTTGAGGGGCTGTTTGCTGGTTAATGAGTGTGTCCTGATCGGGTGCTAGTCTTCCATATGATATCTTCATTAGGTTTTCAACATTTGTTATATTCTTTTTAAATTTGTCTATTAGAATTTTTTTTTTTGTGAATTTGCTTGTTTTCATGGATATATAATTTATCACCACTTCTAGCTTATAGCCTTATATGTCATTTTCAGAAAATCAGTGAAAGAAATAAGACTAGTAGGGGATATAAGAAGATGATGCAAATTACAGGGGAAAAAAGTTATGCTCGAGTTCATGAAGAACTAAAGGTAATGTAGTTGATGTAATATGCATATGTATTTACCTAAATATATATCTGGGTTGTTACAGGAATCTTTGTCGGGACGTGAACCTAGTCGAATGGAGTTGTTTGTTGCGTGTTTTTCTAAAGATGGCATTCCCAAAAATGTCGAAGCTGCAAATGCTATTGTATGTTATATTTATAATTTGTCGATTACATATGCAAGTTTTACTTGAACTATAGACTAGTTTTCACAAGTTTTATCATATTTGTTAGTGATAATTTATTTGACTATAGGAACAAATGCTAGACCTTAACTTTCAACTTCCCGAAGGCTCACTTGATGAGCCGGGCCTAATGATGTATTCTCGAAAGTGATGGGAAAAGACAAACATGGTAGCACTCGCATGTATGGGGTAGGTGTTCGAGGTTCAGATATATGGGGTGTTTTGCCAAGTCGCTCTGCCTGTTATAGGGAGAACATGTTGTGGAAAAGAGCATATAAAGATGTTAGCAATGAAGTAGCTGAGCTGAAAGCTATGGTATTAGAGATGCTAGGGTCATATGAAAATATTTCTAGTACTTCAAGTGTTCCCATGACATCAATAAATCGTCAAGCTACCATTGAACTTCAACCTCTAAAGGTACGTGTCTTTCTAAGACTTAATAAAATCAAGTGTACTTCAAGTGTTCCCGTGCTTTTTTTTAATAAAATCTTAGAATCTTAGAATCTTATTTTTCAATCATGTTTTTGTAGGTTGGGGATGTTGTTCATCTTAAGAACATCCTAAATTCCATGGAAATTGTGGCAAGAGGACATGTTAAGAGATTAGATCCAGATGAATTGGTTGGTGGCGAGGAGATTGGTCCGAATTGGTGTGAGGTACATGTTTTGGTTGCTATTAGAAGGAGGGAACATTTGGTTAGACTATATGGATTGTTTATTACAATTGAAGACGCTATTGGTGCAACAATCGCATGGCCTTGTCCTTTCATTGTGGTATGTTAATCTTTGATAAAGTGTAGAATATTTTTTATTACATAACTTTAAGCTCATATATTTGGTTTTTAATTGTAGGTTGTGCATGACGGAGATTGATATCTCTAGGGCACAATAAGATTTTTGTATTTGCGTTATTCTTTTTCGTTACATAGCTTGGTAGTTGATATTCATATAAATACTTGTACAACTTCGAATTTTGTTCTATCGAATCACTCTCGTATATGGTTCTAAATGTAATATTACAGTAGGATTTTGTAATTGGATGATGCTTCTCGCATTATAGTCATTTAGGACGCTTGTAGTATTAATTATTATAGCCTATTADGAMAYWTTTTTAGTATTACTTAGTTCATTTTATAGGACACTAAAATTTGTTTCATAAAAACATTTTTTGGGACATTGAATTTCGTCCTATAAAAACATTTTTTGGGACGCCCATATTTGTTTCTAAATGTAAACATTTTGTGACAACATAAAGTGTCCTATACTATAGTCTATTAGGACACTTTTTAGTGTTACTTAGGGGTTGTTTGGCAGTTGCTGAATAGTTTGGTGCAGAATGGTTAAGTGGTCAGAATAGTTAAGAGGGCCAGAATGGTTAAGTGTTGAATGAAATAATGTTGTTTGGTAATTATTATCTGAATGACAGTAAATTACCATTTTAGCCCTCATTCACATTAGGGATGCCTTAAACACTTGTATGACCTAAATTAACAACAAACAGAGCAATTATCAACTGGATCGACTCATGACTTGTCTTCTTCAAGAAACACAGTCCGGCCGCCGTGGTTGAGGTTCGCCCACATCGGACTGTCGTATCCCAACCCGAAAACCAAGAAATTGCAAGGGAATTTCTTGGTGAGGACTCGGAGGCTGACGGAGATCTCCTTGTAGGTCTGTTGTGGGGTTATGTTGGAAGTGGCGTAGTGGATGAGGGCTTCAGCTATCGCCGGCGAGATCTTGTTGCATGTTTGATCGGAAGCCATTTATGTGTGTTGTTGTGGAGGGGCAAGATGATGGGTTGATTCGTAAGTCTGCATCTGAGTGTATTTTGGTAGATTGAGGAGATGGAGATGAAGAAGATGATCTGAAGAAGGTTACTAGAAGAAAAAGCAGGAGGAAGAAGGTGATGAGGAGGATGGGTTTGAAGGCAATGGGGTACTTTCCTTTGGTTTTCATGGTTGTAGATAGAGATAGGCAGAGATGTATAGATATAGAGAGAGGGTATATGTATATGTGAGTTATCCGGAATATCAGGATCCCCTGGCTCATCGGCTAGAGTCTCACAGGCTATTTTCCGGTCACTACCGGAGACGGGGATGGAGATGGTGGAGGCTACCGGCTACCGGAGACGGGGACGGAGATGGTGGAGGCTACCGGCTACCGGAGACGGGGAAGGCGACTGTGGAATAGAAGCGACGTGCGTGAAGAGAGGGGTTGGGAAGAAGGGGTGGGAAGGGTAAACTTGGAAAAATAGAAGTCTGAATTGTTTAGTGAACCATTAGATGCAAAATGGTTAAGAGGGTTATGTAACCATAAAGAGGCTTGATTTTTTTTTGCCAAAAACTCCTTACCTCTTACCAATTAAGAGGTTGGCTCTTAATGGTGACATTAAGAGCCAAACAAACAGCCCCTTAAACCATTTTATAGGACTTTGGGTTTTGTATCATAATCCTAGAGTTTTTTAGGACACTCAAATTCATCGTATTAACCTAATACAACACCTTTAGATGAGACACACACATTTTTTGTCCTATAAACTTAAAAGTGCTATTAACTAGCTTATTAGGACACTAATGAGTGTCCTATTGTCACACCCCGCTAAAGCGGAAACACGAGATGTAACAGGCAAGCGAGTCACAGCAACAATTAATAAATAACACTTTYCAATTTTTCAAAATAAAATGAGTTTAACATCATAACCAAATTTTTGACAAATACTTCTTTTACAAAAGCTTCCGTTGCGAACCTAATCAGTTTCCCATAAGTATGCTCCTCAAAATACTTCATTTCTTACATGCTACCTAAAAAGCATGGAACAAAAAACGAGTCAACTACAAAGAGTTGGTGAGCTCACGAGTTTTCACATGCATAAATCAATTTAATGCACAAACCAAATATTTGCAAACTTATGCGAATCTTTTGCACTCAATAAATGCAAATCTTTCACGATGTATAAACTTGAGACGCTACTGAGCCTTACCTGACCAACTTGCCCCATTATTTTACGAACGACCATAAGTAGCCTGTACACTTAGTTAGGTCCCACAATTCGTAGACGTAATAATTCAGCGGTGGTCCAAATTCCACATGATTAGACAAGAAAACATAGGTAGAGTGCACCCCTTTCTGGGTGGGACTGTCAACACAATAGCGGCTATCCACAATACCACGGCCCGGGAACGTGCCCGAGTTAACAAGTAGCGTTTACGGAYGGGGACTTTATTTGGAAAATATACTCTCAAGCACATCAATTTAGCAATTTCAAAGTGCAATAACAGTCAATATTTCATGACACAATAAACTTGACTAAGCAGTTCCTTTGTCCAATGGTTTCAAAAAAAGCTTGACTAAGCAGTTCCTTAGCCCAATGGTTTCAAACAAAACTTGACTAAGCAGTTCCTTAGTCCAATGGTTTCAAACAAGTAACATGCATAGTTTGCTAAATCTCATGCTTTTCCCCCAAAACAATAAACAAAGCATTAAAAGTGGGGCCGTGAGAACTCACTTGCAAATTGATGAATATCCGAGGGTTTGATGACGTCTCAAGCGCTGAACGTCCTGGCCTAACCTTCCTAAACTGTCCAACGACCAGAAATTAGATTACCTAAAGGTTCTCGACAGAGATAAAGTCAAGTTATATCATATGCAATGCCAATGAATTTTATGAATTAAAGTTGATATTTTTATTAATTTTTCTAAAAATGTATATTTTGAAATTAAACCCTTYATACAAAAAGCTGTCATTTGGACATAATATAAATTCTAAATCTGACATTTTTGTTTCCACAAATAATAGCCAAAAATGAATCTTCTATACCTCTTTTTATGACCAAATTTTTATATCTACTATAAAAGGAAGTTAAACAAACTTTTTCCAAATTTCAAGAACTGAAGTTAGATTTAGGTTAATCATCATTACCCTATACTTTTTGAGTGACACAGCCCCCAAATCAGATTGCACACTCTTCGAGTGACAGTCATTTGGAGTCTAAACTCATCATTTTCAATGATTTTAACACCATTTTCAAGGATTTTAACACCATTTTCAGGCTATCAAATTATGTTTAATCTCCAGAAAGAATAATTCCCGATTCCATTGAGTTTTGAGGAAGACAGAACAGATTAAAGATGCATGCAAGATTCTATCATATTTAAAACATAACCTTACATGCTCTAACTTCGCATGCAATAGGTTTCCTCCAACTTTGGAGTTCAAAGAACATGGATCATAGATTATTATCCTTTTTGAAGACATTTTCATGTCTTTGATGAATAATCTCCCCTATTTAATTCTCCAGGATTTATAACTTCAAGATCAAGATGCAGTTTAGGAAGATAAAAACTTGAGTTATTTTATAAAAAAGTGAGATAACTAGGATCATACCTTTTCTTGAAATGTTGAGTAATCTTCAAGATTAACAAAATTTTTAGCTTGCTTGCGGAAAATCGGTTGGAGAGTGATTTCTTTTAGAGAGAGAGGTTAGAGAGATGAAGAGTTTATACTGATAATACTTTGAAAATGAGAGTGTTCAAAAGATGAAGGGTATTTATATGAGGCTTTTTAAAGAGGAAATAGGCTGGCCTCTAAAGGCCCAAACCCAAATAAAATTTTTATTTTTCTTAAATAATAATAAGCCCATGTTTTACTAAGAATCATTTGCTCATTTAAATGAGACTTTTGCATTTTAATTTAAAAGTTTATAATATCAACGTTATTTTATTTAGAGCATTTCAAAAATATTTGGCATTAYACAAGTTAGCTTTATATGATCTCCCACCAAGGCGTGATCTTTCAAATAAGACTTGGGAGCTAATCTAGATTAATTCTAATCACTAAAACTAGATCCTAAAGAAATATTATTACTAAATATAGGATCTATAATAAATTGCTAACCTGAGACTCCAAAATGACAGAATGTCACAGTCTTCCCATGTCACAGTCTCTCGCAGCTTTAAGCCTTTCCTGAATGATTGAAATTTTGTCAGTTGTCTCCTGAATTATGTCAGGCCTAGTTAGCTGTCTGTCACCAATCTCTAACCAGCTGAGTGGGGATCTATACTTACGCCCATACAAGGCTTCATATGGTGCGCACTGGATACTGGTGTGATATCCATTGTTGTAAGAGAATTCAACCAATGGCAGATGAGTATC